TCATCTTTGCCATCTAACAATGCTGTTCGTTTGGTACATAACTCATCCTGCAAAGATGCTGCTTACCACCGATGCAAGGCTTACCCCTCCGCTAATTACGCTCGGTCAGCATCGTCTCTGAGACGAAAGTATTGTAAAAAATCTTATGTTTATTTTTTTGCTCTTGGTTGCAGCCCTATCTAGTAGTAATGCTGAATTCACTCATACTCTCTTCTATCCGTGCTCCCCTAACCTTAATTAACTCATTAAATCACCGCCCCGTGGAGTGACCTGCCACTACACCATGTTACACATGCACATACCAATATGTGCAGAACCCAATACCTTGCCAAATCTCTCAATTGCTTGTGGACCGTCACCCCTCCCCGCGCAAGTTAGTCTTATCATATAGGCCCTAACCCCCGTCTGCCACCTGGCGCCGTCGTCCGTACAACGGATACGTTTGAAAGAAGTACAAATACATACCTTATACCCGCCCAGCCTACGGCCCTCGCCCGCCCCAGCGCCGCCTTGCCTGGACCACGTAAATTGTCGTATTTTTCCGAGACCCGCTCGAGCCTTCCTCCACCGCCCTGCGACCCCGACGAGCTGTTGCACGTAAGCACTCCACATCTCTAAATCGGTTTAAATAATTCCTTCTTCGGCGGCCGGAAGAATTATTGAACTATAATGCTCTGAGAAAAAAATAATAGCAAATTATAGGGGCGCGTCGTCCGTAGAGGAAAAGATACAAGGGTATCGTTTTATCGCAACATAAAGTATAAACTTCGTCCTTCGCCTCATCTCCCTGGTAACTTCGAAATAACCCTCAGGACAATTCCTCCACTGATCAAGATCCGGCGATCCTAACCGCCACGTCCTCCCGGTCAAAACATCACACAGCAAGATCAAAGAGTTTGCAGTTCTGTAATTATGCTTTTAAAAATTATCCCCGTCTTTTTTCTGTTCTCAGTTTCAGTGGTAGTGGTTGCCGAATCGCCGGACGTTGCTTACCAGACTGGCTGCGTTCTGATCGGTGATCATGCTGGAATATCGGAGAGAAACCGTCCAAGTTTGGCATCAAGGTGCAACTACCGTTCATATGCCCTCGTCGAAAATGTGTCCACGGCGTGCTATAAGATCCAGTATGACACCGTAGTGTCTCGTACCTCTTAAACGAGTCCTCCATCCTTGCTGATGTTCTAGCCCGTATAACCCCTAATCCAAGTATGCCGGGTAGCTGCTGTTTTAATACCTTTGAAGAGTCCTCCGTCTGATCGGTCGTGTCCAGCGTGCTCATACATCAGGTAACATGTAGTGTGCTCTACCGTTTAAAGAACGTACCTCTCCTGCTGATGTTCCAGGTGTATATCAGTATGCCCATAGTAGTCCGCTCTACTCTTAAAGAGCTCTCTCCTGCTGATGTTCACGCGTCCTCATGCCATCAGTATGGTGTGCCTCCTCTTTAAAGGAAGTCTTCCTCTTGCTGATGTATTCAGGTGTATTATCAGTATGTAGTCCGTCTACTGCTTAAGAAAGTCTCTCCAGCGTGATGTCTCAGGCCGTGTCAGTACTCAGTATGTAGTGTCCTCTATCCATTAAAAGTCCTTCTCCCTCGCTCCGATGGTTCCAGGCGTGTACTGCCTCAGCTATGGCTGGGGTCTCTCAACTATTAAAGAGTCCCTCTCCTCGCTGAATGTTCAGGTGTATATCACGTAATGCTAGTCGTCTCTACTTCGTCCATTAAAAAAGAGTCATACCTTCCACGCCTGATGTTGCAGCGTGGTTATCCAGTATGTAGATGGTCCTCGCTACTTAAAGAGTCCCTCGACGCCTCGCTGATGTTCAGCGCGTAGTATAAGTCACAGGTCCATGCTACGTGCCGTTTGTAACTTAAAGAGTCCCTCCCCTCCCTGGATGGTGTTCAGGTGTTATCTCAGTATGTACG